AAATTACTTAAAACGACACTCATGTAAAACATATATTTACTATTAAAAGGAATACAACAAGCAAGAGATCGAACGATGATTTTAATGCCGATCGACTCCCAATTTTAGAGTTTAAAATGTTTAGAAAAAAAATCCAAACATAATAACACTATTCTAAATAAAAACACTGTCTTTTCTAAAGATAATATAAAGTAATTTTACCAAATCGTGGTATGTTTAATAAGAACAACTTTATGGTTAAAAAATAATACTGCTAAAAAACCGGGTTTCGATACCCATGGTGGGCAGACACAGACAGCCCATTGTATAGCTTTGGGCTGAACTACAAACAAACAAATGTATATATGTACATAATATCTCTTAATATCTTTAGTAGGTTGGTTTGTTTGTTTGTTTTGAATTTCGCGCAAAGCTACACGAGGGCTATCTGCGCTAGCCGTCCCTAATTTAGCAGTGTAAGACTAGAGGGAAGACAGCTAGTCATCACCACCCACCGCCAACTCTTGGGCTACTCTTTCACCAACGAATAGTGGGATTGACCGTCACTTATAACGCCCCCATGGCTGAAAGAGCGAGCATGTTTGGTGTGACGGGGATTCGAACCCTTGTAGGTTGGAAGCAGTTTCGTAGCTTACACTGCTCTTCAGCCAACCTAATTAAATGCAATACATAATACCTTTTAACAAAATCGAAATGCTTATACAACAAATACATCACAGTAAAAATAATTTAACAAAAATATGAATAGATTTTATGTTATTTCAAATCCACAAACAACGTAATTATTATATTTTATTTAATATCCATAAAAAATAACATAAATATTTAAGAAATTCACAAGTTATTTAAATAAAATTCAAATTACTTCCACTGTAACGAAATAACTTTGACATAATAATATTTTTGTTGTTCATCACAAAACCAGAATGTGAAACAGAAAAAGAAAGGTTCTTGTAACATACCATGGATACTTAATATACAATTGTAAAAATGTTAAGAGCATTTTAATGGACTCTGACTTGGGTTTTTAACACGAAACGTACGTTGATTCATTCTGTATCTTAAAATTTTAGTTTGGCCAACGTATCACTCAAAACATACTGTACATTTTGACAAATAGATACAGTTCTTAGTATTACAAGATTATGATAATGACGTATTAGAAAAATATTAAATCTTTTACTCAAAAATATAAAGGTCAACTTAACAGAGTGGAAATAGATTAATTAATTAATTTCACCCCAATTAAAAGTGCATTTTATTTTAAACAAAAATACATAAATTCCAAGAAATTACTAACGGTTGTTCTAATTTGAATAATGATTATGTACAGCCTGCTGAACCTTCTTGTTTCCCTAGAAGACCTATTGTTGCAGGACATCAAAGTTCCGCACGCCGTATTAGTTCTTTTGTGGATAAATTGTTATTCCAAAAGTTAAACGCTACGTGAGGGATGATTCAGGTTTTATATCAAAAATTACTAGATGTATAATATTGAACATGAACTCGGATAGCAGCAATTAATTATTTTTGTGGATGGTATCCAGAGTTTTTGCATGGTATAATTACTAGAGTTTATAATTGAACCTGTAAAATTAGTTTTGATTAATAACTATTTTATCCACAATAATCATTTCTACCATCAGATAAGAGGAACCGCTACGTGTACAAAAATGGCACCTACATATGTTATTGGAGTAATGGGTTTATTAGAAGAGAAGATGTATACCATTGTTTTTCAAAGAATGACGTCAAATGTTAGCTGTTATGTAATATCGCATTGGCTCAGATACATTGATAATTGTTTTATTATTTGGAATGAAGATTTAAACTGGTTTAATTTTTGTCAAGTTTTAAATAATCTGGATCTAATTATCAAATTCACAGTTGAAAAGTTTTAAAAGTCTATACATTATTTGGATATAGGACTTAAACATCTAATAATGGCTCCTTAGAAACAGATATTTTTTATAAACCAACAAATTCCCATGGTTATTTAGATTTTATAAGTAACCACCCTAGACACGTCAAAAGAAATATCCCATATACGTTAGCAAAGAGAACTGTACAAATTGTTAACAATAAAGAAAATAAAAATATTAGATTGGTTGAATTAATTTTTTTTTAAATATTGTTTTTGAATTTCGCGCAAAGCTACACGAGAGCTATCTGCGCCAGCCGTTCCTAATTTAGCAGTGTAAGACTAGAGGGAAGGCAGCTAGTCATCACCACCCACCGCCAACTCTTGGGCTACTCTTTTACCAACGAATAGTGGGATTGACCGTCACATTATAACGCCCCCACGGCTGAAAGGGCGGGCATGTTTGGTGTGAAAGGGATTCGAACCCGCGACCCTCAGATTGCGAGTCGAGTGCCTTAACCACCTGGCCATGCCGGGCCTTTTTTTTTTTTAAATATAAATTATCCAGAAGGCCTAATTGACAACTGTATATTTCGCGACAAATTACATGGATCAAACGCTATTAATAAGACAGAAATTTTACAAGTTTTCACTACATATACCCAATAATTTAAAATTTAAACCAACCTCCACCCTTTTCTTTAATATTACAGGATATAAAAAAAATATTAAATAAAAGGGTGGAGGTTGTGAATTTTACATTATAGAGTTTTAGGGTGGTTTAATTCTACGTTTAGGTTATATCTAAATATATATATATATAAGGTTATATCTAAGAGCAACTACTTTCTCTCAACTGGCTGCACACAGCGAAAGGCATTAGGAGTTGAGACGTTGTGGGTTCAAGCACTTAACTCCTAACCCTTAACTGATCCCCTTTAATTGATGGCGAGTTTTACATCCACGTTGCAATTTTAAAAATAGATGGAATGTCCCCAACGCATTTGGATACTATGACCTGTTACATATTAAAATTTCAAATAGCCTGAAATTAAGTTAAATGATAATGCTTGGAGACGGCTTGAATGGGTAATGAAGAAAAACTTTAAAATAAGTTTAAAATAACAGCAAATGTACAAATTTTGGACAAGGTTTTGTCATCATCAGGTACAAGTAGTTTACATTAACACAGATATGTACAATGTGGAACAAAGAGGTCACATGACCGGATACTGTTGCACGACTTAGAAGAGATATCTTGGCACCCTAGGATGTTGGTTTAGAGTAGTGTTGTTTTGTTCAATTGAAATGGATTCCTTGATTTTTCGTTTGTTTATGTTTGGTTCTTTGTTTAAAATTACTCTGTTTTTAATAAATATACTATGTTTTTTTAGTTGCAATGGTGGAAAACATGGGACGTTATTTTATTGTGTTCTGTAAACCTGGTTTTCAATTTTCTTCCTGTTTCTCCGATGTAGAATTGTGGGCAGTTATTGCATGTTATTTTGTAAATGACGTTGGTATTGTGTGGTTCTAAATAATTTTTGTTTAGTAATGATTCATTAGTCTCAAAGTAGGTTCTTCGTCATCGAATTTGAGTTAAATGATATTTCATATTTAGTAGTTAAATTATACTTTGGATTTAGCAGTTAAGTAAAAGCCGATATATATAGTCAGTTTATGATATTTGTCACCAATATTGATACACACAGTTTCTTTTTTAACACAAATACGTTTTGATATACACACAACAATACAATTTACAATAACAGTTATTACAAACAATGATTTATAAACAAAAGTTTCACAAACTTGCAAGCAATATAAAGTCTTCCTTTTAGTCAGGAACTGATTACGAGTTCACGTAAGTATAATTCACTTAACGGGAAGCTAGCTAGCTTTGTCCTTCGTTATTTATCAGCCACACACACATTGGGTTTTCCACCGTGACGTTATGTAATGTTTTCATAAAAATACTAATGTCCGATGAGAATCCACTGAAGTTAAATGAGTTGTAATGTTCGAACTTTGTAAATTCTCTTGGTCAAATACCTGAAGTTTTCCGATTGATAATCGTTATAACAATCACAGTTATAGCTTCCAAAGTTTATAGCACACTAACTATAGCAAATTAATAATAGATATTCTCTTTTTGGCGCGGCGCGTTGGTTATATTTATAGGCATGTGGAGAGTTTTTAGAAAATTCAGATTACGTAACAATACAAATTGAAGCGTTTACGTACATACATATATTCTTACTCTCGATAATCTTCTACAACTTTGGAGAATAGGAGGGAGTTTCGCAATACATATTTAACAGTATAAGCTATGTA